ACCCTGGCCAGTTTCCATGCGCTGGGTGTGTAGCCCATCGCGATAAAGGCCCTTAAGGTTGGGGTCAGTGGGCCCACGATCTGTTCCAGTCCCTCTTGTAGAAGAGCCGGAAAGATACTATCCGGTCCCGCTGACTTTTTAGGGCTTAAACAATGATATTAAAATGAATATTTATGAATACAAAAACTGTATTTGTTTAGTAACAATGAGTCCAGCAGATCAAGCAGTTCACAGCAACCATTGACAAAGCCAAAAATTCGAAAAATGTATGTTATAAAAATCTATTCTATATATATTAAAAAAATTAAAACATTGAAAAAGTATATTATTTTATAAAATATGTTACTATATTTAACTTTACAATAATTTGAATGGTATTTTCATGTACAGATCTAGATCACCTCGTCGATTATTAAGCAAAGAAAATACACTTATACAATCATTGATCAAGACCGATAAAGCTCTTCAACAAAGATTACATACAATAGCAGAACAAAAAAAAACGGAATCAAGAACGTGATGATATGGTAGCAAATTCAATGAATAGATTTTTGAATGCTTTTGCAACTCTTGCTGAAAACAGCATGTTATAAGGTACATCTCCATTTTCAAATGTAATGCTTGATAGGAATATTATACCGAAAGAGAATGTAGTCAAATCAACATCAAAAATATTCCACCAAAACGTGCCTGTTTCACGACCTATAAACATATCTACAATTGCATCATCTACCATTACATCAGAAACACAAAAATGTCAGCAAAATCTAAATATTAATCAAATTTATATCGTTAATGACATGGAACCCTCACAAACAATTATTGATGAAAATGATAATCAGCATATATCGGATAGCTTTGTGAACGATATTGATTTTCCCGAATTTCCATCTAATGAAAGTTCAACTAAACAAATCGTATCAGACAATGAAGAAAACATGTCTCATGAAAGCGAAATAACAGATTCCACAGCAAAAATATTGAATTATTCAAAACGTGTGTTAATGGAAAATAAAAGTCTTTCCAAGTCAAATAAAGTTATCCGTGAGCCAATTTATAAGAAAAAAAATACGAATATCTTGAAATCCTTAGATGTTAATAAAATATTACCAATGGTCAAAAAACAAAAGTATCAAAATATTCTAGTAACAAAGACAAACTATGGTTTTAATAACATTCATCATAAAGAAAAAATGTAGAAAGATATATCTAAAACTAAAATAAAAATTTAAAAAGTAACAAATTTATTATATTTATAATAATATATAATACAGTAAACATTATATATATTTGCACTTTGAGGTATTTTTTTTTCGGATATATTTGAGTTTTAAATTATATTCGAATTGTTTTTAATATTTGAATTATTTTCTGGATGATGTGATCCTTAGAATGTAAGTTTCTAATAAATAAAATGTATACCGTGATATTATTTCAAAGACTGTTTCAATATAAAATTTATATTTGTAAGGAAACTATAATGAAAATATGAAATTGTTTTTCAATAAATATATTTTATTACCAATTATATATTTTGTGCATAATTCATTACAACGATCTGTCATTCATAATTATCTATAGATATGTTGTCATGTAACAGTCTTTCGGCTAGCATATCCCGAAAGTTGAACATAACTGTTCCATATAACCCACCACTTCGCCACCACCGCGGGGGACGACGACCTCTCCCTCTTGATATTCTTTTTTGAGCGTTGTAGCGAATTGCGCGAGTCGTGGTGAGTGGCCAAACTCCCATATTGTGAATTGAAGTAGAGCAGCCTTCGTGGGACCTGCGAGGGACTCAGCAGGCAGGACGACGGAGGCCCGGACGGCGTGCAGACAGATCCAGGATAAGGGCAAGTAAAAATACCCTTGCAAATATCATTCGATTCCAGACACAGTCGCTACCGCAGATACAATTTCAGATCCGGAGCATATCGAGGCCGGTGAACGCACCGAGAGAGATGACGCCCGAAAGGGAAGCGCGCTCTCACACGCCGGAGAACTGGAGTGGAGAACCCGAACAAGGAGCTGTCGTAACGAGCCAGGGAAGCAGAATCAGGTCAAAACCTGGCCAGTTCCCGGCCGATTCAAAGAAGGTTCGAATCCGGAAACGGAGAAGGCCACGAAGGGCGTTAACGGCAGCTGCCAGAAGAGAGAGACCGGGGTCACCTCGGAAAAGCGTCACCGAGGGCCGATATATCGAGGAGCGACGCGAGGATCGAGATATATCGAAGGATCAAGTAGCGTTAATCGATAGCGAGGATCTACATGCGCAGGACGATGCGCGGAATGTCACCGCTGTCCGGCGAGCCTCGCTGTCGTCACTGTTCGGCGAGTCGGCAACCTGAGAAGAACCTCGAGGACCACAACGGGCGTACCGACGAATTGTAAGGCCACCACTTCGACTTTGCGGTAAGAGCGGTATCAGTAGGCGGCCCGAGCCTCGCGGAAATAAGAACCCGCAGGGTTTTCGTAAAAGAATCTTGAGTGTATCGAAATGTCTCGCGGTATTGTGCGAGGTTAGAGATAGGCCGGGCCCCGCTGACTACCGCTTCTATAGAATTAGATTCCACCATGCTATTCTTCTCGGGGCTGCAAGCCGACAGTCGTTTCGCGTTGAATAATGTCTCTCGTTAATAAGTGATAATTTTGCGTCTATGTATGTATTACTGTACCGAGCGTTAGAATCTTTGGAGTTAGCCTATCGCGTATCTTTCGCCTCGGCCTTCAGTCGAGCGTTTCAAATTAAGAATTGTTAAGAGTCATATCGAGAGAGAGAATTTGCGGTGTGTAATAACTTTATATTGAGAAGGCTTAAACGTAGAGTGAAGCGAACGACCGTACCTAATCAGGACGACAAAACTTGTACGCTAAACCGCTATACCGTGTGAGGCGGAATTACGCGGGTTTCCGCGAGCAGAACATCCAAAATGTAATGCCTCTAAAAGAGATAAATTGTGTCTCCACTCCACGGGAATGTTAAAGCGCCCATCACCCGGCGTCAACCTCACTCGAATTCATTATTATTATTAAATGTTATTTGTTACAAACTTAATGTGTCATTAATAACCGTCTTATTTCAGACTCCTCGCCCCTCTGCCATTTGTAGAGTGGGCTAGTCGCGCTTATCGCCGTTGCTCGTTAAAGAAAAATATTGACTCTAACGTAATTTGTTCGTGCGGCGCGTTAATCCGCGCCTGGCGCCCAACTATAAGTATTGAAATAATTATTAAAATCTATTAAATAGAGCAACGAGGTTTGACACGCTTACCGGCGGGTGTACTTCTGCCCGACGGGAAAGTCGTCGCAACGCATCGACTATAACAAAAATGTGTTTGAATTTGTCCTCAGTTTCCTGCAGCGGACCAAAATGGTCAAGGTGCAGTACTTCCAACGGCACTGTTAGCGAGGGGTAGACTCGATTCCCCCTCCATACGAGTAGGCGCATCATTCGACGTTATACAGGTAAGACAATTTTCTATATAATCGTATATTTTTTTTCGCATCGACGAAAACCAATAATTCTGTTTAATTCCTTTTATTTATAGTTTTCTCTAGGCCACAATGGGCCATGTCATCGTGGTGAGCCCTGATCACGCAGGTCTCCATCGACTTCGGTACGACGAAACTCATCTCCCCGTTACGGGTAAAATAAACTAATCCATTAATTAACGCAAACTTATTACTATTCTTAACTTCTAATTCCTCGCTTGTCGCTTTGATTTTAGGATCGGCTAATTGACGGAACTCGAGCTCCCTTTCAAGCGGTAGCTCGTTAACGTAACCGGAACATCGGCTAAGGGCATCGACGTGTGCCATTCTTTTGCCCGGCCGGTGCATCACCCTGAAGCGGTAATTTTGCAAGGTGAGTGTCCATCTCGCAATTCTTGGATTAAGGTTCACTTTATTTACTGCATGCACGAGGGCATTACAGTCGGTAACAATTACAAAAGTCAGCCCGAAAAGATATAAATGAAATCTTTCTATGGCCCTTACAATCGCTAACATTTCGAGCTCAAAACTATGGTATCTTGTTTCAGCTTTATTGGTGGCCTGGCTAAAATATGCAACTGGACACCATCTACCATCGTTCTGCTTCTGAGGCAGGATTGCACCCAGGCCCAGACTACTTGCATCTGTGTGCAGTTCCGTGTCGAGGGCCGGGTTATAAAGCGCTAGGACCGGTGCTGAGGTAAGTTCACTCTTTAATTGTTCGAATGCTCTTACGCATTCTGAGTCGAAAACGAAATTAGTATCCTTTCTCAAAAGGTTGTGTAACGGCTTTGCTTTAATCGCGAAATCTTTAATAAATTTACGGAAGTAACTTGCCAGTCCGAGAAATCGCTGTACTTTGTGCACGTTTCTTGGCTGTCTGAATTTTTTAACCGACTCTGTATGTCTTGGACTCAGAGTAATTCCGTTCGACGATATAATATATCCTAAAAATTCTATTTCGCGCTTCATAAATAAACATTTTTTATAGTTTAATTCGAAACAATATTGCTTCAAGATGCGAAGCACTTCTTTCAAAATTTCAAAATTCTGTTCAATCGTTTAAGACCCCTATTTTGTAACTTGTTGTTATTTTACGACATCGTTATATTAACGACTCTCTTACGAATGATTGTTTAATGACAATTTGGAAAAAGTTATTCTATAAGCAAGTCGTTCAGGTACGAATGATTATCTCTGCTTAACGACGTTTTTTAGAAGGTTGGTACTACTTTTCTATAGTATGTGTAATGGAAATCATAGATTTTTAATGTTGGTAGTATGTCACAAACGGAAAGCAATTCT